CCCCCCATGGACTGGTAGTTGTGGTGGCCACAGGGAGAGACTCCTATGCCTGTGGAAAGGGGAAGGAAGAGTGAGAACGACTTAGTATTGTGGTTGAATGCCAACCTAGCTGCAGTAGAATAGAACATCAGGTAAATTGCTGAGGTTTTGAGCTCCAGTCCCTGGCTCCCAGACAGCATCTTTGGACATACCTGGTGCCTGGAGAAGCTCACTGCCCTGAAGGGAAGGACCTTGGAAAAGACCTAGTGCTGGGCTGGCTTCAGGTCTGACCAAGCACAGTCCCAGTGGTGATGGCCACAGGGTGTTTGCATCACCACACCCCCAGTTCCAGGTGGTTCAGCACATACACAGACACTCTGTTTATTTGGGAGAAAGTAAGAGAATAGAACAAGAGTCTCTACCTGGTAATCCAAAAACTTCTCTGCATCTTATGCAAGACTACCAAGGCAGTATCTCTATGAGTCTGCAAAAATCACAGAATTATTCGGCTTGGGGTCCATGTCCCTTAAAATACTTGGAAAGCCTTCCCGAGAAGGACAGGCAAAAACAAACCCAGATGTGAAGATTATAATAAATACCTAACATTTTAATGCCCAGACACTGAGAAACATTGACAAGCATCAGTACCATCCAGGAAAACAACCTCACCAAATTAACTAAGTAAGGCACCAGGGACCAATCCTGGAGAAAAAGAGATACATGACCTTTCAGACAGAGAATTCAAAATAGCTGTTTTGAGAAAACTCTTAAGAAATTCGAGATAACAGAGAGAAAATATTCAGAATTCTATCAGTTAAATTTAACAAAGAGATTGAAATTATCAAAAAGAATCAAGCAGATATTCGAGAGTTGAAAAGTGCAATTGACATGCTGAAGAATACATCAGAGTCTCTGAATAGCAGAATTGATCAAGCAGAAGAAAAAATTAGTGAGCTTGAAGACAGGCTGTTTGAAAATACACAGTCAGGCCTGGTGCGGTGGCTCACGCCTGTAATCCCAGCACTTTGGGAGGCCAAGGCAGGCAGATCATGAAGTTAGGAGATAGAGACCCTCCTGGCCAACATGGTGAAACCCTGTCTCTACTAAAAATACAAAAGTTAGCTGGGCATGATGATGCATGCCTGTAGTCCCAACTACAGGCCAGTCGCAGTGGCTCACGCCTGTAATCTCAGCACTTTGGGAGGCCGAGGGGGGTGGATCACAAGGTCAGGAGTTCTACAGCAGCCTGGCCAATATGCTGAAACTCCGTCTCCACTAAAAATACAAAAATAATTAGCCAGTCGTGGTGGCACACACCTGTAGTCCCAGCTACTAGAGAGGCTGAGGCAGAGAATTGCTTGAACCCGGGAGGTGGAGGTTGCAGTGAGCTGAGACTGAGCCTGGCTGACAGAGCGAGACTCTGTCTCAAAAAAAATTTTTTTTTGAACATATAGATATATTTTGAGATGTGGTCTTACTATGTCACCCAGGCTGGTCACGAACTTCGGGGCTCAAGCAATCTTCCCACTTCAGTCTCCAGAGCAGACAGGACAACAGGTGCATACCACCACACCAGGCTCTGAACATTATTTATAATTCACATGATGCAAAATTCAAAAGGCAAACAAAAATTATAAAGGGCAAAATTCTCCTTCCCACCCTGTCTCACAACCAAACAGTTCTTCTCCCCAAAGAAACCAATGTTACCACTTTATTTTGTCTTTCCAAGTACAGCTTACACACACAAGCAAATATGAATATATCTTCTACGTTTTATTTTTTTGGGGGGGATGGAGTTTCCCTCTTGTTGCCCAGGCTGGAGTGCAATGGCACGATCTTGGCTCACCACAACCTTTGCCTCCTGGGTTCAAGCGATTCTCCTGCCTCAGTCTCCCGAGTAGCTGGGATTACAGGCATGCGCCACCATGCCCTGCTAATTTTGTACTTTTAGTAGTGACAGGGTTTCTCCATGTTGGTCAGGCTGGTCTCAAACTCCTGACCTCAGGTGATCCGCCCGCCTCAGCCTCCCAAAGTGCTGTGATTACAGGCGTGATCTTCCACCTTTTTACACCAATAATAGAGAATACAGATTGTTCACAGCTTCATGGTATTGGATTTTATGGATGTACTATATTTTATTGAATTGGTCCCCTACTAATGGACATTTAAGGGTGTTGTCAATCTAATCTACAAACAATGCTGCAGTTAACAATCTTGTACATATGTAGTCTTACATGTGCACGAGTATATGTGAATAATTTTATTACAATTGACAAATATTTCCAAAATGCCCCCAATAAATTTTATAACAATCTTGCATTCTTCTCTACAATGTGTAAGTCAGGGACAGTTTTAGACTAGGAAAATACAATATGGAAGATGGAGATGCAATGTAAATTTAGAATGCTGCCCACTTGGCTATGGTTTCAGTAACCTTAAGAATGAAAGGGCTGGGCGCTGTGGCTCATTCCTGTAATCCCAGCACTTGGGAGGCCAAGGAGGGTGGATCACGAGGTCAGCAGTTCAAGAGCAGCCTGGCCAACATGACAAAACCCAGTCTCTACTAAAAATACAAAGATTAGCTGGGCGTGATTGTGCGTGCCTGTAGTCCCAGTTCCTGGCGGGGCAGGGCTGAGGCAGGAGAATTGCTTGATCCCGGGTGCTTGATCCTGGGAGGCAGAGGTTGCAGTGAGCTGAGATCATGCCACAGCATTCCAGCCTGGGCAACAGAGTGAGACTCCAACTCAAAAAAAAAAAAAAAAAAAAAAAAAAAAAAAAAAAAAAAAAAAAAAAAAAGGGCTCACAAAAGAAAATAGTATTACCAGTTTGTTGTCTAGACATTCAGATAAGTTGAACCAATTAACCCTCTTTGCCTTTCAGACACTAACTGCACCAAAATCAATTAGAAGCGAACTTCCTTAAATTAACCCTCAGCAACCATAACCTGGTGAAAAGTCAGCAGGGGAGGAACCGTGGTGATAAGGCTAAGATTCCCCTAAGAAGATTCTTTCCAATTTCCCTCTTAATGTCCACCTTGTAGTGGCCACAAGTTCCTTTCACTTAATTGTCTTGGAGTGAAAGAAGTAAAATCACCTTAGTGGTGATGATAAGCCCCATTATGACGCAAAATATGTAATGAGGTCTGTGGATCGCAGGGCTCAGAGGATTCTTGCCGCAGTGTCGTTCGGCTCGAAGAGGTCATTGTGGACAATGGAAGAGAAGAAATTTGAGGCCCCCGTGGGTTTTCTCGATATCAAAAAGTTCCTCAGTACTTGGAAGGTAAAACGCATTTCCTGCAATCAGATGCTTAGCATATTAAGCCTTGGAATTCTCTCCGTCTGCTCTGCCTCCTGAGCGGTGGGGAGGGACTCAGGCTCATCCAATCGCCAGGCTGTAGAGCTGTATATTCCCAGGCTCCCTGCGGATCCCACACCACCCAACCGTCCGTCCTTCCTTCCATCTTTCCTTTCTTTCTTTCTCTCTTTCTCTTCTTCCTTCTTTGTTTTCTCTTTCTTTCTTTCTCTTTCTCTCTCTCTCTTTCTTTCTCTCTTTCCTTCTTTCTCTTTCTCTCTTTCTTTCTTGAGACAGAATCTCACTCTGTCGCCCAGGCTGGAGTGCAGTGGCGCGATTTCGGCTCACTGCAATCTCCGCCTCCCGGGTTCAAGCGATTGATTCTCCTGCCTCAGCCTCCTGAGTAGTTGGGATTACAGGCGCACACCAGAACGCCCGGCTAATGTTTTTGTATTTTTAGTAGAGACTGGGTTTAACCATGTTGGCCAGGCTGGTCTCGAACTCCTGACCTCAAGTGATCCACCTGCTTTGGCCTCTGGGATTACAGGCCTGACCACTATGCCAGACCTTTTTTTTTTTTTTCCCCCCCTGACAGGGTCTCATTCTGTGGCTCAGGCTGGAGTGCAGTGGCTGTCAGGTCTCCATATGCAAGCCTGGAACGAGAACTTCTGAAGTCCTGCCTGCCTCTGCTAATTGTCTCCCACCCCACCGCCCGCGTTGGCCGTTGTCCCTAATCGCCCAGCGGAGCTTCCCCGGACAAGCCCCTCACCCCACCCTGCCATTTTAACTGTTTTATGTTATATGTGGATACCTCTCATCCCATCCTGCCATCTTAACTGCTCTTCCGCCTTACTCAACCCGCCATTGTAACTAAACTTGTGGTCATGTATACTCCTTGCCACTACCCCCCACCACTGTAACTGATCTTACTCTGCAACGCCCTCGCCCCCCAAAATTACCCCAACTTATAAAACCAATTCCCACCCTTAACCCCTTCTCCTGTCCTTTCTCAGATTCGGTCCGCTTGCACCCAAGCGAAAAATAAAACGGCCTTGTTGCCCACACAAAGCCTGCTTGGAAAATCTCTTTATTAAATGCATTTAATATTCGGTACTATTGGACGTGAATAACAGTGGCGATCCTGGCACACTGCAACCTCTGCTGCCTGGGTTCAAGGGATTCTCCTGCCTCAGCCTCCCGAGTAGGTGGGACTACAGGCGCGGGCCACCACGCCGGGCTAATTTTTTTTTTTTTTTTTTTTTGGTAGAGACGGGGTTTTGCTGTGTTGCCCAGGCGGGTCTGGAACTCCTGAGCTCAGGTAATCCGCTCGCCTCAGCCTCCCAAAAGTTCCGGGATTACAGTGTTGAGCCACCGCGCGCCGGCCACCCAACTTCTTTCTAATTGGGCTTCGTACAGAAGTCCCGCCCCCGATACAGGAAGGTCACGTGACGCCGCCTCATCACGTGACGCGGACTCGAGGAGGGGGCGGTCCTCGAGCTGCATTGCGTCATCACGTCGCGCGCCCGCGGGGTCCAGACCCGAAGGCTCCAGAGCCTCCGGAGCCTCCGGGTCGGGGCGGCGGCGGCGCTTCGGCTCCTCCTGAGCCGCCTGCTGGCCCCGCGCGCCACCATATCCCCACAGGCTGGGGACAGGCCCGGCGCGGCTGTGTGGGCACGGGAGCGGAGGTGAGTTGCGCGGAAGTGGTGGCAGTCAGTCCTTCCCTTCCTGTCCATCAACTCCGGGTTGTGGCCCTTCCCCCATCCTTGGTCTCCCTGCCAGGCGGAATCGGAGACTCGCCTGGATAGGAGGAAGGCTGCGAGGGGCGTCTGGCCTCGGTCGCCCTCTCACCTCTCCCCATACCTCCACCTGGCGGTGCTGGTCATACGCCTGCTGGTGTCGGGGGGAAGGACTTCGTTTCCTTGGCTAAAATTTAGTCTTTCCCGAATGTACTACCCCTCCCCTGCCTCGAATCTCCCGAAGTGGAATCCCTCTATTGAGATATTAACGGAAATTCTAGAAAATACGTCAATTCAGAAAGGTGAGGGTGAAGGATATGCTGAGACTTGGAGTGATGAGGCAGGAATCCCCAAGAAGGAAGACCACTTTGCACCAGGGTTACTGTCATTTTGATGTGGAAATGACAAACCCCCCTCCCTCCCACGTTGTCATCACGGTAAATGGACATTTGTTTCGGACCCTTTTTACACCCCTGGAGTTGAAATTAAATTGATCTAAGTCTTCCTGAAAAACATCATATGCTTTGATGAATCACCTATTTTTCTGTAAAATGGGTCTTGCAGGGTTGATGGAGGGATTATCTATAGTGCTTGTAGTATAAAATGGCAACTATAAACATAAGTAAATGAAAATTTAAGGTCTCGTTTTTCCTATTGAAAAACTGTGAGTTGTGGACTTTTGGAGACCATCGTTTGATCTTTCCCCACCTTGGATCATTTCAGAAAGTTTTGGATTCCAATATTGATTGGTTAACAGTAATGGACATTTACAGATGTAGAGTAGGAATAGCTGTTGTTGAAGAGCTTCAATAGCTTAAGCAAGTAAGTCCAACTTGGATGGTTTCCAACCGTTCATTGTAGGTAATGGGTCCTCAATTGGTTTTTTGTTGTTGTTGTTGTTTTTTATTTTTATTTATCTATTTTTTCTGACGGATTCTCGCTCTGTTGCCCAGGCTGGAATGCAGTGGCATGATCTAGGCTCACTGGGTGGAGCAATTCTCAACCGCCTCCCGGGCTCAAGCAATTCTCATGCCTCAGCCTCCCCAGTAGCTAGGATTACAGGCATGTGCCACCACATCCAGCTAATTTTTGTGTTTTTAGTAGAGACAGAGTTTCATCATGTTGGTCAAGCTGATCTCGAACTCCTGACCTCAACTGATCCGCCCACCTTGGCCTCCTAAAGTCCCGGGATTACAGGCGTGAGCTACTGGGCTGGGCCTGAAGTTTCACTTAAAGAAGGAATCCAGATATATTTGGAAGTCATCAGACATAATTATTTGCATACTTCTTTAGAAAAGCACATTTTTACTGAACTTTCTTGCTCTGAGTTGAATACACACTTTTTTTTTTTCATTGAATTCTAAGCATTTATTGTGCAGCTTCTAGGATAGAAAGCATACATATAAAGCAGGATCTTCACCCTCTAAGTACTTATCTGCTTATGGATATTAAATAGTAATGATATAACACCTTTAAGGAATTTTATATTTTATTAATTTTTTTTTTTGGGGACAGAGTTGCACACTGTCGCCCAGGCTGTAGTGCAGTGGTGTGATCTTGGCTCACTGCAACCTCTGCCTCCTATGTTCAAGCAATTCTCCTGCCTTACAGGTGTGTGCCACCATGCCCAGCTTATTTTTTGGTATTTTTAGTAGAGATGGGGTTTCACCACGTTGGCCAGGTTGGTCTCGATCTGACCTCGTGATCCATCTGTCTCGGCCTCCCAAAGTGCTAGGATTACAGGTGTGAGCCACCGCACCTGGCCTATATTTTCATTTTATCATTTGAGACAAGAACCTTGTGAAGAGTTACAGGACATATATTGTTTACTTACATTTCAGCATTCATCATAATAAATGTCAAGTGGCAGGGACACTCCGTGATAGAGGAATTCGGAGGAAGAAGAGAGAACTTGTACATGAACTAGATAGTGGTGGTGACATCAGGTATAGGAGTGCCCTCTACTTGTGTATGTTTAGGTCTGAGGAAGCCCCTTAGGTTCTTAATTCGTAAAGCTAATAAATATGTTCAGTTTCCCTAGTTCTTTAAATGTGTTCATTGTTTTTTTCTCTTGTAATTGCAGAATCCAAGGACCCCTTTTGTTTCTCTGCACCACTTTCTGGGTGGCATTATGGCCCCCAAAGACATAATGACAAATACTCATGCTAAATCCATCCTCAATTCAATGAACTCCCTCAGGAAGAGCAATACCCTCTGTGATGTGACATTGAGAGTAGAGCAGAAGGACTTCCCTGCCCATCGGATTGTGCTGGCTGCCTGTAGTGATTACTTCTGTGCCATGTTCACTAGTGAGGTAAGTGGTAAGTTAGCCCCACACAAATGAAACTCTCCCATTGAACTCTAGTTGTCTAATTTCACTGAATAAAATACTAGAAGTTTGATGTAATTGTGAATTTTTACACTGTGATGTTTAGGCAGATTCTGGATAAGATCTACCACCTGACTATGCCTTAGTTTCATCATATTTAAATTAGGGGTAATGGTAATATGTAATAACACATGGTTATTAAGGTTATTGTGAAGTTTATCTTATAAAATAACTTATGCAGTGCTTAGAATGGTGTAATATGTAGTAAAACACAAATGTCAGCTATTGTATTTTACTATTTCTTAAATTTGTCTTCCAGTTTTTCTCCTTTTTTTGTTTCTAGTTTTTATTTATTTATTTGTAAAGACAGGGTCTCACTATATATTGCCCAGGCTGATCTTGAACTCCTGGGCTCAAGTATTCCTCCTGCCTTGGACTTCCAAAGTGGCCACACCTGACATTACAGGTGTGAGCCACTGCACCTGGCCTTTTCTCCTTCTAAAGTTTAAACATTTTTAAGTGAATACCAGAGGGATAAGAAGGAAGGAAGGAGAGAGGAGTACAATTCAGACCTCACCCCACTCCTCCTAACAATATGTGAAGAAAAATCAGTGTAGATTTTAGGATAACTTCAAATGAAAGGAAGGAGTTTTTAATGAATAGCTGTACAGGTATAGAGTGCATAACCTGAAAAAAGATGTTAACTCATAAGCACTTAACAAAGGGAATTAGGAAAAAGGTGACATGACAGAATACAGGTAGTGCTCACAAAGTATTAAGAAGCACTGCTTAGTAATTGCCTGACAAAATAGTTGAAATGCGGAGTAAGGCTGTATTGTGTTCAGTACTCCTAGAAAGCTGAACAGAGAAGAACATTGCAAGTCTTTGTTTTGCGAGATCCCAAGTCTGATTATAAGAGCAGATTTAAATAAATTACCTTGATTTTTTTTTTCAAAGCTCAGTCGTGGGTGCACCACTGTTTATGATATAATTTACACTTATTTGTATGCCCGAAATAATTCATTATGAAAACACTTTTTTAAACGTCGTTTTAAGCACAGGAATTTTTTTGTTTTTAGTTAGTTCTATCATCTTAGTGAAGATACTGCTACTGGATCAGGATGGGAGAGGCGTATTCTATGATGGTAATAATTACCTTTTATGGGCCAGGTACTGTGCTAGTGATTGTTGTGCATGTCTCACTCACCCTAGGGGTGGTTATTACCATCTCATTTTTACAAATGAAGGAACAGGGTTTCATATATTAAGTCACTTGCCCAAAGTCCCTTGGCTTGTAAGTGCTCGAGGTGGGATTTAATTCTATATTTTCTGTCTCTAAAGCCCAAATGGTTTTTTTTTTTTTTTTTGGTTTTGTTTTTTGAGATGGAGTTTTGCTCCAGGCTGGAGTGCAATTGTGCAATCCCGACTTACCACAACCTCCCCTACCACAACCCTCTCAGGTTCAAGCAATTCTCCTGCCTCGGCCTCCCTAGTAGCTGGGATTACAGGCATGTGCCACCACATCTGGCTAATTTTGTATTTTTATTGTAGACGGGGTTTCTCTATGTTGGTCAAGCTGGTCTTGAACTCCCAACCTCAGGTGACCTGACTGCCTTGGCCTCCCAAAGTGCTGGGGTTATAGGTGTGAGCCACCACACCTGGCCAAAGCCGGAACGGTTTTTAACTATTGTGCTGCCTTAGCCTCTGAAGCATGAATTTTATATCCTACAATCTACTTTTAAAACCAGTATAGTTAAAAATACTATGAGCCAATGCTCAGTCACATGGCTAGTAGGGAAAACAGGAACTGATAGGTCATTCCAGCTAATCCAGGCTAATTTTTAAATGAACTTGTGTGATAAAACAAGGCAGATCGCTGTCCTATACTGTTCTCCATGAGATATACCCAAGAGCATCAGAAGCATTTGGAATTTACCTGGGTAAAGAGAGTGTCACCCAGCAGCTGCTGAGCATGAAATGAACTAGAACTGTTGACTGCTAATTATGTATTGTGCATCCTGTTTTTTGTCAGCTTGAAAATAGTCTGTCTTTACTCTTTTAATTCAGAAATTAATTCTTTTTTTCTCATTTTGATTTCTTTCTTTAAAAACTGACATCAGCCTGGCCAGGCGCTGTGGCTCACGCCTGTAATCCCAGCTCTTAGGGAGGCAGAGGCGGGAGGATAGCTTGAGCCCGGGAGTTTGAGACCTGCCTGGGCAATATAGTGAGACCCCGTTCTCCGAAAAAAGGAAATTAACAAAAAGACCAAAAAAAAATAATAAAAATAAAAACACATCAGACAAAAAAAAGCCAGATGGTTTTGTTTTTATTTTTCAGAGTAATTGGTTTAAAGGAAAGAGTCCAGAGACCTGGATTCTAGGCCTCGTTCTCTTAGCAATTCTGTATAAACCCTGTCAACCATCTAACCTCACTGGGTTGATCTGTAAAATAAAGTAGTTGAACTAGATGGTTTTCTTGTTCTCTTCAGCCATGAAATGCTCCTCAAATGTCATCTGATTGAAAAATCACAGGACTGAGGCAAGAGGACCTGGGTTTTATGTCTGTCTCTCTCTTTTTTTTTTTCTGAAAGACTTTGATAGCAATAGCAATGATGTCTGTCTCTTACTGGCCAAGTGACTCTGGTTAAGTCTTGTATCTGCTTTGATTTTTAGGTCCTTTATCTCTGAAGTAGTAATAATATCAGATCTAACTACCTTACCAGGTTGTTGTGAGAATCAGATGAAATAGTAGAAAATGAGAAGCACACTGAAAAATTTTAAAGCAAAATATAAATGTAAAATGTATTATTATTCTAAGTTCTTACATAGTGAAATCGTTTCAATATTTAAACTATTTGATGGAAATATAGTTTATTGAATAAGAAATTTCTGGAATACACGTACTTACATATTTCAGTATCATAATTATTGAATGTATTTAATGTGTTGGGACAGTAATTGTTTATAAATATTAGTACTGTATTAAGTGTTAATAAAACCTAATACGTTTTTTCAAAATAATGTGCTAGTGACTTTTTTTTTACTGTTAGGGATTGATCTTGTTCTTGGCTTTGTAGAGAGTGCTTTTTGATTATTCTCCGGCTGACGGAGAAATCAAACATGATAAAGCAATTTAGTTCATAATGGAGGTACACCAGATTTTTGTGAGTAAAATGAATTTCTAAACTAAGATTTAGTAAAATTTTTATAAGGTATTTTTAGGTAACTTACTGTCCTGTAAAGTTGAAGATTTCTTCTCTTAGCTAAACAGTTTTCTGTGATTATCAGGCCTCATCAATACTCAACAGCTTCAAGGAGATATACTGCTAACAATTCAGACTAAATATACTACTAGCAATTCAGTTCGTCTAACCGAATATTTTGAAAAAGTAACAAACACTTTATTTGTATTCAGATGGTGTCACATAAGAAAGTCCCTTAGGATGACCTGCATATTCTTTTTCATCATTACCAAATGTAGTCTGAGGGCCAGGCATGGTGGCTCACTCCTGTAATCCCAGCACTTTGATAAGCAGAGGTGAGCGGATCACCTGAGATCAGAAGTTCAAGATCAGCTTGGTCTACATGGCGAAACCTTGTCTCTACTAAAAATACAAAAATTAGCTGGGCACGGTGGCTCATGCCTATCATCCCAGCACTTCGGGAGGCTGAGGTGGGCCAGTCACTTGAGGTCAGGAGTTTTGAGACCAGCCTGGCCAACATGGTGAAACCCTGCCTCTACTAAAAATATAAAAATTAGCTGGGAGTGGTGGCACATCCCTGTAGTCCCAACTACTCAGGAGGCTGAGACAAGAGAATTGCTTGAACCTGGGAGGCAGAACTTGAAGTGAGC